CGGCACCACGGTAGTACATAGGAGCCAGGCTATGGTACCGTTCCTGACCCGCGGTGTCCCATATATCAAATTTGATGGTAGCTTCATTTAGTGACAGAACCTGAGTGAAGAAAGCCGCTCCAATTGTTGATTCCTGCAGCTTACACTCATGTTAGAGACCAAAAACTAATAATGCTACAATTTCTACAGAGAAAGATTCTATATATAATCAAAGTGAACCTGGTACTCCAAAAATTTTCCTGTCACAAATCTCAATACCAAGCTTGTCTTCCCAGTTCCCATGTCCCCAAGAAGTACCTGGGAAAAAGCAATGATAAAGCCAATTAATTGACCAAGATGCACTCCTCTTGCTGGTTTTCAATGCTAAAATACTTTAATGGAAAAAATGTAACAATCCAAACAATCTAAGAACCAAGGCTTTTTCATAAGGTAATTACTTATATGGGGGATAAAATAAATTCTGAATTCAGAAAGATAAATTTTAAAAAACATATAATCATAGATAGATGCTGCTCATCAAGTGAATTACAATCAGCTAAGCATTCAAATAGAAACAAGAAGTTTAATACATCAACTTCTACTCCTCAAATCTAGGCTAGGCATATTTCAAGTGATCTGTGATCCTCCAAGAAAAAAATTCAATTTATTTCCCTGAATTACAAACCAAACATGTATATACCATATGACACATACATAAAAAGAAACTAGTAATTAAGAGTATCCCATTTCATGCACACAAGTAAAGTAAATGAAAGAAAATATAAAGGAAGACATACCCACCAGCTTGGCTTGTATGTTCTTATTGCCTGTTCTCGCCATGGATCGTATCGCTTAATCACTGCAGCTTTCTCAAGTTTCAGGGGAAGCCAGGAAGAGATAAGAGTTATGAGTTTGAAAGTAAAAACAAAGCAAAGGCACCAATGAGATGAGGAATCCGGGAGAGAAAACAAAAGAAAAGACCATGTACACAAAGCTTTCCTGTTGGTTTTTCTGTTTCCAGGGAATGGTGAAGCACTTGATTGGCATTTGACCACCAGGAAAAACGCATGGAAGAAGGAAGATTTGTATTGGCAATAGCATTTCACACTGACTGGTAGTTTTGTTGGTTGACTGGTAGTTGATTGCTAGCTGCCTCTTTTTGTCTACTTTCTTCTTTTCCGTTTACATATGCTTTGTTTAAAGGTTGCTTTCTGTACACAGGGACAGGGGGATCAAGTCAGTGTTTCCACCAACATATGAAATTCATGAATCATCAACAACATTATCCCACTTTTCTTAACCCGTACGACATGCCGTTCATATATCGTTCATTTGCATTTAGGCTATGATTTTTGAACCTAATCAAACCAAAAATTTGAGTTACAATATGCTCTACAAGTACCAAAACATGTAATTTACCCTTTCACTTTTTTTTTTCTTTTTTTTTTTTCTCAGAGAAGAAATTAAAATACAGAATCTGAAGGAGCCAGCCGACTTGCTTTGTTGAATTCATCTACTATCTTAAAAAAAACTGAAATATTGGTCACCTTCATTTAACGAAAACGAAACTTGTGGAATTAGGTTTCTTGAGGAGGAAGGTGTTAGGTACCACCCCAATTTTAAAATATTACAAGGTTTGATTTTTTGGATCATTTTAATTTATATACATCGTGCGGATACTATTGTAAACAAAAAGAAAAGAAGAGAGGGATAGTACAAAATACATGATTTCCGCACGATAATAATTTCCAGATATCCGCATAGGAGAATTTTTGTATATATATGGCTACAACAAGAGATTGAAGAGATGTTTGCATACAATACAACTAGAAGGATTATACTTCAGAAATAAAAAATAAAAAACTACAAGGATACATATCCAAGTTGATACTGTTTTATGAAATTAAAACTTTTTTTGATACCCCGAGATTTTTTATTTTTATTTTGCTTTAAAGACCATCACACTATTCATTGGGATAAAGACTATCTTACTTTAACTCGCAACATTTGGCAAATTGAGTACAATGATTGGTATCTTGGTCCCATTTTCATTGTCTTTAATCATTAATCAAATTCAATGATGACGCAGGATAACAGCTTCCAGCACTTTCTTGACATTTTTGGAGAAACAAAGACTAATTGGAGCTTCTCTGAAAGTCCTTTTTTTCGCTTGAGCAAGCATTGAGATGTTTTCCCCTTCTTTTTTTTTTCTGAACGAAGAATAGTCATGGCTAAAATAAAATGAATTCTTCACATTCATAAGACTGGTTCAGTTTTGCAGACAAAGAAATAAAAAAGAAGTGAAAAAAAAAAAAAACCAAAGGCTATCAGATAAGTTGGGAACCACCCTAGGAAGTTAGAACAAGAACATATGAAGTCATGATCAGCCCACATATCATCAATATGAGCTCATGGCTAAGATACATACAAAATGATCAGAAGGCAACAAAAAGCTCTTACACTTGGCTACATTGGGAGGCCAAACCTTTTGACTTAGGGAGAGAGCAGATGGACCATCTGCTGTACAAGAAAAAATACTATATTAAAAAAAAAAAAAACCCAAAAGAGCAAAACCAGAAGCAGAATCTATACGTGTACAATGAGCCACATAGAAAAAGATGATCATGATCCCTCCTCAGCTCTCACATGGAAACCTCATCTTCATGCGGCTACCCACTCACCATATCCAGTCCTTTTCCTCTCTCCCTCGAGGCTTTTTAATTTGTATATATATTTTTACAAAGTTTATGCTATTTTCATACAACCATCATTACCATAATCCTTCCAAGTGGGGTGGATTATGGAATCTTTAGTTATTCTATTATCTTCTTTAACACTGGATTTGTTTAAAATTGATCAGATAATGGCCCCCTCCTCTGTTTTAGATGTGATCGCTCTTTCAACCTTAGACGAGTCTAGTCTACAGAGTTTGAAGAGTTACATAGCTCGTGTAAAGCATCGGTTGGCTCTTAACAACGTACAAATTTATCCATTTTGATTTTCGGTGTTAAACAATATCTTAAACTTAGAAAAACTGAGTTCTCTAATTTGGATTATGGCATCCGACATCGGTTGTTACGTGTCATATTGTCAAATAAGTTGATAAACAAGTTGGTGTTCGTAACATTAGAGATAGTGAAGTCGGTTACACTAGGGACAAAGAGGGAGGAATCAAAGGGCACAGCTTGATTGGCTTACTTGTTCTGGCCTCACACCTCTTCGAGGATAAAATCTATTTTTCTTCTTCTTTTCTATAAATATTCACAAACCCAATTGCCAATAAATTGCCAAAGGAGAGTTTCTTTCTTTCATATTAGTTCACACACATATTCTTCATCAACAAGGCATGGCCTCCCATGGCAGTGGCCTGACAGTCTCAACTTCTCCAAAAAGTGGTGGCAACGCAGAAGCTGCAGCAATTTCACCAAAAGGAGGCCAATGCTTGTGCTCACCAACAACTCATCAAGGATCGTTCCGGTGCCGGTTTCACCGGTCCCAATCATCGGCTTGGATGAAGCGATCAAAGTCCTTGCCCACCAATAATAACTCTGTGGCTTCTCTCTCTCCCAAGTCAGTACTTGAGTCTACTTAGTTACCAACGTCTGAGTCCCCAACCAAAACTATATCCTATAAACAAATAGTTATAAAGCAATATTCTCTCTGTTTGCTGAATTCAGGTGTGTTACATATATAAATTATATATGAATTATGTATTACAGTTTTAATGTATGTGCAGTTGCTGAATGTTTTACACTAATATAAAATATTGACAGTGTCCCTCTTCTCTTGTTTCTGCTCAATGGAAGCATCTTTCTACCCTCTCAAAAACAAATATTTATGCAGAAAGGCAAATGAATTTGCATCAAAATCTTCTGAAGTCTTTGATAAAAAAAATTACTTGAAATTTTATTTGCACAGAGTACTTGGCGACTCGTTGTAGATAATAATTATGTATGGATAATATTGGTTTTCCCCTCCTTTTCTTTTTCTTATTTTTTCTTGACCATAAGGATGATGGAATTCAAAATTGCAGAGAATTATTAAATGACAGAATTTAGATATCCATCGTTTAAATTTCTGTCAAATAATAATTTCAATGTTTAGATTTATGTGTGTCAAATTTTGCAAATGACAAAAATTATTGCGAAAACGAATTCATGCTTGAAATAATAGAATTTGAGAAATAACGACTCTTTTGCCAGAAATTAAACTCGGGAATCTTGATCTTCAATTTTCACGATTTTTCCGGCGTGCCAATTAATAAGTTTCATGTTTAAGTTGCCAAACAATGAAAATATCAATTTCTCTCATCTTCAATTCTGACTTTTAGCTAAATCCCAAATTATTTTCCTCCATCCAAATGGAGGGTAATGGAATATCTGAGATTAGTTTTGTAAGGCCTGTGATTTTACTCGTTTTTATATCAAGTGTATATGCAGCAATAGAAACCCTGATTTTCATAACCAATAATTAGATGGCTCCCATAACGAAAGTAGAACAATTATCTTATCCTATGGTCGAATCTGGAATCGATGGTTACGTGCCGAAGCCGATACAGATATTTGCTATGTGTCACGTTCTTTCCATGTCAAACATTCTTGGATTTACATTGAATTCATTGAAACGTGTGTACCAGTCCATGAAAAATACATCCATTTATTGGAATTTATATACCACACACCAAATATTCCACCCAAATTTAAATCTATTTATTCTTTCTACGCATGGTAATTGAAAGTTCTATTGAAAAGGACGAGTTTAAAAGGTCATTCTTAATCATCAAAACAATCCAAAACGATACATTCACAAGCATAACAAATTTGTTCCACATAAACATGTGATGGGCAAAAATGAGAGCCAAAATAAGAGAGAGCACTCATTCCACAATTTTGAGCCGATGCAAAATGACTGTTCCAGCCCATCAAAGTTATGGGTGGTTTGGCAAGTAGCGCACAAATTTGTTCTTCGGAGTTCAGATAGAGGTCGTGGTTCAACTATTGGATTAATAAATACCATTCAACTAAACAGAAGAACGCTTATCTTCAAAAAAATACAGAAATGCTATACATATTTAGTGTTCAGATTCACAGCATCACCCAATTTCCATATCTAATGTTCAGATTCATGACACGCAAACTTTTACGTAGGTTAGCGTATGTAGTGGATATGTCCAATCACTTACTTCAAGGGCATGGCTCAATACTCGTCTTCAGCTTCTTGTGAGAGCAACCAGGAGCGGTACTCAGACTCCTGGCCCAATTGGTCTGGTGGAGTCACCCTTTTTCGTACGAGCATTTCTATAGTGGGGTACTTCCTCTTACGGCCACCCCTTGACCTTGACCGGAATTGCTCATCAGCCTCTTCAAAATCCCCCTGCAATTCAAAGCAATAATGTCCCACATATGAACTCATAATGTGGCATTGCCTGGAAAGATGCTTATCCCAAAATCCAACATATGAGGGTATTGAATTATGTGTAAGAATAATACTCACATATGCATAGACATGACGTCCAGTCTTCTCATGCTTATCTCTCACATGCTTGTATGCGAATCTCATGCCACAACCCGAAAAGCTACAGACAAAAGGTTTATGTTCAAGGTGTACTGCCTTGACATGTTGATGGAGATTTGATTTCTGCAAATGTATAAGCAAAATCAGAAATGGAAACAATAAAAAAACTAACAATGGCAACGCAATGAGTGCAAAACTATTTTTTTTCTTTCCAAAATAATGAAATCTGTTTGTTCTTTATGTGTGTACATAAACCCATTAAAAGTCAAGTCAGTAACTCACAGTTGAAAATGTGTGAAGACAACCCTTATAACTGCATTTAATTCTCTCCACTGAAGCACGCCCCCCTTCATGCATGCAGAGATGCCGTTCTATGTTCCTTTTCAGCTTCTTGGTCCCACATATCTCACAGGTGATATGTTGGTGGCAGGACTGAATATGGGCCTTAAGGCATTTCTGATTAGAAAAATATTTCATACAGCCAGGTTCAGAGCAGAATGCCTCCACTGAATCCAGCTTAACTACACACATAAAAGGATATATTTAGAGTTTGCATTAAGCATACGCCAAAAACTTCAACAAAAGCACATCCCCTCATTTTCAGAAAAATTTGTATCTTACACCATTATTCACCACTGACGCGCACACACAAGGCAGAATACAAAAAGAAGATCAAATTCAGAAATGAAAGATACCATGAGAATTCTCATGCTTCTGCAGCTTTGAAGCAAATTTGAACACCTTTCCACAATCCTGGCATACATGCTGCTTCTGACCCCCAACATAAGCCGAAGGATCATCCTCATTGTGGAGTTCTCTTACATGCCTCCTCATGTTACCTTGGGAAACAAACCCACGATTACAGTTCTCAATCGGACACTTAAAGAGTTTCCCTTGGTGCTGAAGAAGATGACGATTTAAGTGGTCCTTTCTTCTAAAGCTGGAACGACAATCATCCACCAAACAAACGTATGGCCTCTGTAAAGAATAAGCTAAACGAATTCAGGAACCAATAACCATAGTTTCAAAATATAAGTGAACAAGCATTCAATTCTAACTGAACAGTACGTGATTGAGGCTTGCTTGATGGAGCTTCCCAGGAGGTCTCCCACCTGGTACTGGTCCGTTCAAGACAAACCCTTGCGCATTTTGGAGTTCTTTGTGTGGGATCCAATGCTTCACGTTGTCCAACAGATACTTCTTTAAAATGCCGATTCCTGCAAAACTTCTAACTTCAATTGATGCAAATACTACAGAAACTTCATCCAAAACGTAAAAAATAAGCTAAAAGGAATTCATGAACGAATAACCATATAATTTCAAAGTGCACATGATCAAGCATTCAAACCTCAAACCGAGCAGTACGTGATTGAGATTCACTTGATGGAGCTTCACAGGAGGTCCCCCACCTGATACTGGTCCAGTCAAGTCAGAAACCTCTCGCATTTTGGAGTTCTTTGTGTGGGATCCAATGCTTCACGCTATCCAAAGGATAGTTCTTAAAAATGTTGAATCCTGCAAAATTTATATCTTCAATTGATGCGAAAAGTACAGGACCTTCATCCGAAAAATAAGGAAATCTATGGACACAATCAGCTGTTATGAAGCTATCAAACTAATCAGTAGCAATATCATCAGACGAGTACTATACAAGCTGCCGCTGGTTTCCTTAACACAACTTCAAACACCAATACTATGGAAACATGTGAAGGTTTATTAACAATTTGAAGTTAATAGCAAATAATACCTCAAGGGAATGGCTTTGCATGTGTTGCTTGAGATATGCAGGTTTTTTAAAAGTAGCACCACATTCTTGGCAAGTATTGGGTTTTTCCCTCTCTCCTTCCCCATCAGCCTCTTTGGCCATTTCCATCTCTTCCTGTAGCAAAAATAACCAAATCATAAGTAAAAATTTAAGATAATCAATCTGAAGACAACCCAGCTTCAGATTTTGTTTAAAATACAAAAACCAAATGAACCCACAACAGTAAATCCCTCAAATTCGAAAACCCAATTTATAAAAATTCATAATTGGACAATAAAAAACCAGAATTAAAAAGAATGGACTGAAACCTTGTGGTGAGTGAGCATGTGAGAAGCAATCAGGGTCTTTTTGGACCTGCAGATGCCACAGTACTCACAATAATATCGCCTTATATCCCTGAAAATAGGCCCTTCCTCCTCTGCTTCCCTTATACCCATTGATTTCTCGCGCTCTCTCTCAACTCTCACCCGCCAAAATCAGCAACAACGACAACCGACGCTTGGTTTGCCTTCTGAGATGTCTGCTTCGTGGCTAGGGAGAATTTATTAAAAATAGCCAAAATTTACCCCCCACTTTAAAAAATGTCAATTTTTAAAAAATCTTTTAAATATTGCCAAAAACCCATATAAATAGACACAAATACCCTTACGAATTAAAACCAACATAAACCTAAAAAGCAAAACTACACACAAAAATTGGATTCGCATGCACATTTGTAGTCTTTGGTTGAACTACTGCTGAGCACCCACGTATGTAGCCTTGGTCTGAAGCAATTCTAACACTTCCTAATTCAACTTACCGATCTGTAATATCAGGTTTGCTTTTCTCTCTCCCTCCTTCCATCTTTGTTTTAATTCCATTGTTTTCTGTTGGCCACTTGAAATAGTTTATCCAACTTATTAATTTTGTTTGTTGGATTGGATTTGAAGATAAAGAACTTATTAATTGTATTTCTTTTTCAATTTGGATGAATAAAATATTTCCAATTTGGGTTTGCCTGGATCATTGTAAATTGAATTAGGGAGTATTGAGGCTATACAGACGTGTTGCCCATTGGTATGGTTATTAAGTTCCTGATCAACTCCCATAGAGACACTCATCATTTTATGCAATGACGATGCTTTGTACAAATTTAATTATATGAACTTTATGTGTGAAAGAAAGAGTTTTTCAATGAGTTGAATATTCAAAACATAATTATTGAATACTAGTGTCTCTAATATAAGTTTTTAAGTTTCTTGGTCCTATTTCTGGATATTTCCTCTCAGGTTGCTGCGATAAACACACCAATGTCAACTCTCACAAAGACAGTGGGTGTGTTCCTGAAGTCTTTGCACATAAATTCAATACTTTAGTAACATATCTTTTCATTTATCCTATCTCAACGTCTTTGCACATAGATTCAATACTTAGCCATTTTGAAGAGAAATAACGTCACCTGAGAAGGAAGGTGAACAACTTGTTTTATCAGCAAATCTATAGTTCAAGCTAAAGTACAAACCCTCTTGTAAAGATTATGGACCTTGGCAGCACGGGATCTCTTTGTAGATGTTAATTCTTGGGCCTTTTATTTTTCCATTAGCATGATATTTCTTTTTAAGTTTATGTGGGTTTTAATTTTTAAGGGCATTTGTGTCTCTTTAGGTGAGTTTTTAGCTATATTTGAAAGATTTTATAAAAACTGATATTTTTTTAAGTGGGGAATAAATTTTGGTTATTTTTGATAAATTCCCTTTCGTTTTATTGAAGAAAAACTATTTACCACTCCTCATTTTGCCACGTCCACTCCAAAATAAGAGTGGACCTACCGCCCACCACATGACAAGTCAAACCGGTGCGTATTATCAACAACCCAATATTTTACGTACGAAAATAAAATGAACCGTTTGGCCGCAGCGAATTAAAACTTAAAAACTCTGTGCAGTCTCGTGTCCTTATCAGTTCCAACAAACAATGGCCTCCAAGGGCGAGTCTGTATACTATGCTCCGATCCCATCCGACCCGACCCACACCCAATCCCAGCAAACCGTCGTCGTTTTAGCTCCTTACCGTCCCAATCCTAACTACCAGAGACGACGTCGTCTCCGCCTCTGCCTCTCAATCACCGCCTCCCTCCTTCTCCTCTCCACCGCCATCTTCTTCCTCTTCCCCTCCGACCCCACCCTGCAACTCGTGCGGCTCAAACTCAACCACGTCCGAGTCAACTCGTCCCCCAGACCCACTCTCGACCTCTCCTTCTCTCTGACCATCAGAGTGCGAAATCGCGACTCTTTTTCTCTGAACTATGACTCGCTCCGCGTCACGGTAGGCTACCGTGCGAGAGAGCTAGGGTTTGTGAGCTCCGATGGAGGACGTGTGAGGGCCAGAGGGTCGTCGTACGTGAACGCCACGCTCGTGCTGGACGGGCTTGAAGTCATCCACGACGTGTTTTACTTGCTTGAAGATTTGGCTAGGGGTGTAATACCCTTTGATACTGATACGGAGGTGGAACGGACTTTGGGGCTCTTTTTCTTCAAAATTCCTATCAAGGTAAACTTGCTCTTGATTCAATGTAGAAGCTTTTAGTTGGTATTGATTCTATCTGATGTTTGCTTGGAACAGTAAAAGTTAAAGATTGAATTTTGCATTGATTCCGTACTAACTTGTCAATTTTTTGAACAAAGTTGCAAACTTTTTGTTGGTGAAATGGTCTTCGTATCTGTATGAAATTCAGTAGGCTGAGTTTTACTCGATGTCTTATGAGAGAGTTGGGGGGGTTTATGTGTAAGAAGTGTTGCATCTAGCTAAGATTAGCTTCACACAATGTGGTTGTTTTCATTTTGTTGATTAATTTCTTCTTTGATGTTCTGGAATTCATAGTGTTTATGAGTTTATGTCAATTTATGTTAATCTGTCATTTCAAAAGTGAGTGAATTTAAAGGACGGGTACCCTTCAATTTGTGATATATGCATTATAGATTGGTGCACAGCCTGTCTACACCCAAATTATTTAGTCTTGGATAAGAAAAGTAAAATCTTCTGTTCTTTGATACCCTGTAATATTCCTATCTGCTGGTGGATTTATCACTCTGCAGAAAAATTACATGTGAAATGCTGCAATGTAATAAGGATGAGTGGCTGAAGAGGCCATTGATTATGGTGTGATCCACTTTCTATTTGACCCCTCTCTCATATGCATGTTAGTTTCGATGTGAATTCTTTCATTGGCAATTTTTTCTAATTGTGATCACAAATGTTCATCAGGCAAAAGCATCATGTGAGGTGTATGTAAATACAAACAATCAGACAATTGTTCGTCAGGACTGCTCCCCTGAGGTGAGGATCCGATTTCTTCTTTCTTGTGGCTAGTTTGAAATTTCTGCAAAACCTCTATAGCAGTATACATTTTTACTTTATATCCATTTTCTAAGTCAAGTGCGCATCGGGAAGCTGTTTCCTCTGATACAGCGAGTCCCGACCGACTGATATAGTTTTCACATTTTTCTTGCTGTGTATTTATAATTACAGTCCTAATTGCTTGGTCAAGTTTAGGTTCTTTGGCTATACGCAATTAGTGTAGAGGCGTAGGCCTCGTTTTGTGCTTCAGATTGGATTGAATTGGATAAGTCCCTAAATCTAAGGTATATTGAAGGAGGAAATGAAGGTAGAGGTGAATGACTTTCCATGTTAGGGGGATTAGGAGGGATTAGTCATAAGGTGTTGTTATCCTACCATTTTATGGGGATTAGATGGGATAAGTTTTCTTCTTCAACCTTCAACTTGATCAAAGAAACGTTCATTTCTTCCTTAAACATGCTTTAAATATAGGGAGTATCCAATCCAATCCAATACTAATTACCAAGCATGGCCTTAGTGTCATATATGGGAAGCTGGGTTTGCACCAGTTCCCCAAAAAGGTGACATTTCATTAGGTATTTTACATCAACTAAGTCGTTGTTATAAATCTTGCAGTGAAGCGGTTAAGATCAAGGGACTGTAAGTGCAGTAGAATCTGTAATTTGGGTGCTAAATGTGGATGACAGTTCCAACAACTCCCTGTCCATGTGCATCATCAAGTTCTCACTGATCACAACTATCTATCAGCCTGTAGAATGCCAGAGAGCAGTGTGCTTTATACCAAAAGAAAGTCATGGAGGAGGAGGATTCATTTTACTTGTATTTAACAATTAAATTACAGGGAATATGGGTGAAAAGTTCCCTTGAGGAGATATTATATTTATATATATAAATTTGTTTTAACAGTGTAAATTGGTTATCGGAATCGAATTTGGAATTGAAACATGTCAATTTGTGAATGTCGTTTTCATGAACACTGGAGGCCATCAAATGCAATAATGAAACATGTCAACATTGGAATATTAGAAATTGGTTTTGGACGGCAGGGACATATAAACATATATTCTTTTCCAATACGAAAAGTCTCTCAATTCGAGAGATTACTGATTGATTTGTGTGTTTATATTCTAATCGAATTTTTTTCACTAAATGAAGAAGGTAATGATGCTTCATCTTGATGCAAAGTATGGTAAATTCAAAACCTGAACTGAACTTTCCACCGGAATTTTTTTTTTTAATTTTTTTTAATTTTTTTATTTAAACAAACTTGGTTTTGAAAAAGAAATTACGCATATAGAAAGGACATGATGTTGATTATATGCGTGATTAATTCATAAACACCCATATATATATTTATGCAAATCATCTTTCTCTTCTTAATTTGTACACGCTTTGCAGTCTTATAATTTGGAAGTAATTAATTTGTGGCGCTGTTTTTTCTCACAATCCGACCAGTACCCCAGACATACCCAACATGGTGTTGCCTGCACCGAAACGAGCCGGGATGCCGGGTCGGCGAGCACAGGCACTGCCTTGTCGGGCCACCGCTGCCACCTCTTCTACCACCACCACTAGCAGCCTCTTCTTCAACCCTCATGCCTGCAGCAGCAGCAGCATGCAAACCCACTGAAGTCTGAATCTGAACCACCGCAGGACCCTGCAGAAGAAGCCATCTGCCATGGTGATGCAGCAGCGCCAAGTCTCTCAGCCTAACCAAACTAGGCACACCTGGGTGAGGCTGACACATAATAATTTCTTACTGTCTTCTTCTTTCCGAATTCCCCTCTGCCTCAAACCTGAAACTGAAAGCTACAGAGCATCATATAGCTAGGAATTAATTAACAGGAGGAGGAAAATTAATATTTATAGCAGAGAGGAGGGAGGGAGGGTTGGCTAAGTAAAGTTATATGGCATAAAGAGGTAGCTTTTTGATTGATGCCCAGGAAAGCTATTTCCTTTTAGATGCTTGAATTCTTGACGAGGCAGGCTTTTGTGTTAATGTTGTGTAATTCTTTGTGTGTGTTAAGTTTAAGGTGGTGATGATGGAGAGAGGCCAGCCAAACCAGAGTTACACATGTCCACATCAGATGCTCCATGGCCTAACAAAATCAAAACGATGCTATAGATAGTGTGCTTTCATTTCCAACCAGGGTTAGATGCTGCCTCTGTTTTGCCACGTCCCTTTGATTCTGCCACTTGGACACAAGTACAGGCTAGTTTTGGCTCAGACGGATGCACCTGTCTTGTGCTGAGTGGCAGCAATATGTAAGTATATTTATAGAGACTTATTAAGGAAGATTCAAACATATAGCCTCGAGTGCATAAATAACGATTCGTAACTAGTTGGGCTACAAATATCTGCAATTTTAGCACCGAGGTTTTGTATGTTCTAAAGTCAGGCAGTTAGCTAGCATATTTATTAATCGGGGGCACTAGTTACTTGCTGATATGCTTGCCTGGCTGTTTTGGGGGACCTAAACAGAGGATTTAGGTAGGTTTATGACTATGATGGGTTAATTAATGATGCAAATTTTTGCTTGGGGAGAAATCTTCAACATGAAGGAAGGGATTTTAGTGGGGTGGGGACTGAGTTAGACTTTGGCTAGCTTTGGAATTGTGTGGCGTTCCTAGTCAGATTATATATTCACCTAATTAAATGTCTTGCCTTTTCTTGGATTGTAGCAAACAGCTTGTGTGGTGCCACGTTTATCGCAGTCAGGCCCTGTACCTGTGCACATATATCCAATCCAGCAGTTTGCTTTTTTGGAAATATTACAATAAGCAGAGGACAATTCAATTGAAAATTTGAAGCAGAAAATAAGTTTTTATTTTCTTTAGTAAGAATAAGAAGAGAAAAAGAAGGTTGTAGTAAAAGGAAACAGAAAGGAATGAATCTGAATGCACAATGAATCAGAACATTACACCGCAAGATTGTTGTTTATATCTCTCTGGTGTGTTTCTGTTGCTCCAAGGTTTTGTTCATCCTCTCATTTTTGACTAAATTGTACATGTTGGGATAATGAACAAGAACAAATTGGTTTTAATAATTGCAGGATCATCGTCTCTGGAGGAGGCTTTGCGGCTGATGAGGAAGAAACCAGAGAAGGATTGCTAAGCAGCAGCAGCTGCCCTTTTTGAAACATAATGTAGTAGATGTGTAAAAGAAAGATATATTGTCAAATTTTGTTGCTTCTTCTTAGCCTTTGACATTTTCTTTTGGAACCTTCATTTTGTTATCACTCAAAAAATTCTAAGGTCTTCTGCCACAGATTGAGTCATGTCGTACAGCTGGAGTGGGAGCCACGTTTCAATGGAAAAATTAATTCAGTATGAAGAAGAAGAAGAAGAAGAAGAAGATGCACTTTTCCATGACATTTGTTGTCTTTTGAGAGAAGTTGGAATTAAAATCCTGATGTATCTATTAGTGGCTGGCATCTGTTTAAGACTATTCTAAATCATCGCTTAATTAAACAAAAAACTATACTACCATTCTCTTCTCTTTGACCATCCACTCACACATGGAAAACCAATCATGGCCATCCACTCAACTCACACATGAAAAACATCTTTAGTATTAATGTTTTCATACAAAAAAAGAGGAATTCGAACCGTATTATTAATGTTTTCATACAAAAAGAGGAATTCAAATCGTATTAATCAACTAGTCTGATTCACGTTTGCAAAAAATTCGTTATTAACCAAAAAAAAGTCATATAGATAATTTTAGGGCAATGATTTCCCCACTCCTATTTTATCCACTTATACTCCTTTTTTAGTTATAAAAAAGGAGTGTAAGTGGATAAAATATGAGAAAAAAGAGTGGGGAAATCACCACTCTAATTTTATACGGAATCTTCTTTTCTTCGTTTTGGTAATAACATCAACAGTGTGAGTTGAGATTTTATTGTATACTCTGAAAATAATGGAGGCGGTCGAAAATATTGAAACAAAGATATTGGAACCCAACCCAATCCATAGGCCAAGTGCGCATAAACCTGCTTTGAGCCTTCTCTGGCGGGCTTGGGACCCAACCCAATCCATTGCTTGAAAAGGGACTCTCTTTACCCGCTTTCTGGTGAGTCCGAGTCAACAAGCCGCCGACTCGGAGTCAAAATGATCACGTCAAAGGAAGGCGTACTTTTCCTTTCCAAAACCACTCTCTCACACGCGCAATTTGACACGCATTTTCTCTCTCTTCCACTTTCCAAGAAACCGCACATGTTTGCTCGCCACCACCACCACCACGTTCCCATGTTCTTCTAGAAACCCCACCACCCCTCCACATATATAAATACCACACCAACCGTATGCGCAGCCCCCATCCATCTTAAAATCTCTCATCATTTTCCTTTAGTCCTTCATTTCCTTAGTTTTCATTACCCTAATTTAGTTCAGATTTATTTATTTTTTGGGGGTTGAGGATGAATTCGATGAGATCTTGTGCCCTTCCAATCATTGGGTTTGTGCTCATGGCTCTCCTGAGCCTGAGTTATGGGCAGGCCCCAGCTCCTTCTCCAACAAGCGATGGTGAGTTGATCTTCTTCTGCAAAACCCATTTTTCTTTTTTGTTGGGTTTGGTGTGAATGAATGAAAGTTTGCAAACTTTACGGTTTTTGGAAGTGTTGGGGTTCAGCTGATAGTAAGTTGATCTTCTTCTGCAAAACCCATAATTCTTTTTTGTTGGGTTTGGTTTGAATCAATGAAAATTTGCAAACTTAAGGGTTTTTGAAAGTGTTGGGTTTCAGATGATATTAAGTTGATCTTCTTCTGCAAAACCCATAATTCTTTTTTGTTGGGTTTGATTTGAATCAATGAAAATTTGCAAACTTTAAGGTTTTTGTTATGGGTTTTGAAGTGTTGGTGCTCAGCTAATGATGATTTTGTCTAATTTTCTCTTTCGTTGTGGTTGAATTAATGCAGGCATGGCGATTGATCAAGGAATTGCTTACACTCTTCTGCTGGTGGCCCTTGCAATAACTTATTTGCTGCACTGATTCTTGATTTCTCAAGTTTCAGGCAGCCCAATCACAATGAGCTTATTATTATTGTGTACATGATCGATTCGATCTGGGATTATAAAATTCAAATTCTTTGTATACTTTTCTCCTTATATTCACTTGGAGAATTTACAGCCAGCCCCGTTGTAGTTTGTACCTGAATGAATATCATTTATTTGATCCTTTTTCCCACCAATTCATGGTGTTTTTTCATTTATTTATTTTTCTTTTGACCACATGGATCAATTTCTGTTTCTGGGTTGGTGATTGCAAGTCTTAAATTAATGCTGACCCATTCAAACTTGGGCCTCATTATTCATCATCAGCCTCTTTATGGGCCTCATTAATTGTTTTAGGCCTTATTAGGTCAAAAGTAAAACGTTTGATAAAAAATAAAATAAAAATGGAAGAAAACGACGTGTCATTTTATTGCTTTGAGGATTTGTGTTGAGGTTACGTTATGATCGCTCCGCTTATATTATGGTGATTTGGAGCGAACAATCCTAAACCACATACTCAACTTTTCGCAAACAATATCGTTTTATAATCTAATATTCATCATGACGCTTGAAATTAATAATTTAACAGCATATATGCATATCATGGCGCTATAAATTAATAATTTAATATAAATTCAAGATATAGAAATGGTGTCAATGCAAATTTATAGATATATATACCCTGATAATGGAGATCAAAAAAAGTAAATTTTTTAAGATGGTATGTCTTAAAATTCTAGACATATATAAATGCGAGACAAATAAACAAGTTTCTTTTTGCAACAAATAATAGTGTAATGGAAATTCGAACTTGAGACCACTGCTATACATGTTAATATCATTTTTCTGCTGGATTAGACCCCGTTGGCAACCAAATCTTTCTCTTAACATAATCTAAAACAAATGAAATAGTTTTCTATTTTTGCTTTAATAACATTTTTAATCTTTCTAGACTTTAAAAATTAGAACCATGGCCCAGTCAAGTGGGGTCATTAAGGAGAGGAAGAGTGAACGGGAAGAGTTCTGATCGTTTGATGATATAAAAACTACGTCGTTTAAACTTTTATATTAATTATTATTTCAATATAAAAATCTTAAACATTAATCTCTAAACTTACTTAACCTCGAATTAACATGATTTTTGAAAATTGTCACAAAAAAGATACTATTGGCCGAAGAGCAGAAGAGAGAGGGACTTTTAAAATAAAAAATATATATACATGAGTAGATAAATAGTATTATAAAATAAAAATGTTTGAATATTATGAATAAAGGTTTGTCGAAAAAAATATTTTGTCAAGTCCCAACAGGTCCAAATAGAATTTACCAACTACTAATTTGCAGACCTTGGCACCTGCGACAAAATACCCAAAACATGCTCACTACTTGAAGCCCAGATACAATACTCAACGTCCATGGTAAAGTCGCTACTCCACCAATGAATCCACTCCACATCAGCCATTGAGATATCGTACGCACCAGGTTCGCTTACACCGTCTTTCCCATGGGGATACACCTCTCTCTCTCTCTTACACATTCAGACCCACCTAAGTCACCCACCGTCAAATTCTTTGATAGCCTCTCTTCCATGAAACAAACCCCATTTAGTTAAATCCCATTCTTTCTTGATTTTGCTTGTATTAACAAACACAGAATCCAATTGGGTTCTCAAATTCATGAACTTTTTTTTCTCTCATAAGGTACGTGCTTGATAAAGTTCGTCTCTTTCTTGTTTTATCATCTGTATATCATCCATTCTCTTTTCTTTTGTTCTTTTGATGTTTTTGTGATTGAAGTGCATCGCTTTGTGTGAATCTGGTATGTGGGTATTCTTGTTTTTGTTTTCCAGGGAGTTTTGCGCTTGCTGTGTTTGCATGGCTCTTTTGATTCATCTAACTGATAGGTGCCAAAATCGAGATGGGTTTGATTGATATGAGCTAAAATTGGTTGTTAGAGGTGATTTTCAGGTTAAAAATGTGTACTTTTGTGCGATGTTTATGGTTTTTGGATGAGATGATTTGGGATTCAGTGGTGATTTTACTTTGCACATGATATGTGTGTATCTCATTCTGTTTGAATGAATAATTGGAATTTTAGACTGTTTGGTTTAACTTTGAACTTATGGGTAACCGGGTGTTTGGCCAACTGAAGATCAAGAATGTTGTTGCTTTTAAAAATTAAATGGACTTGTGCATCGATGCTAGCATAGCTGCAGTTGGATTGAGTTTTGTTTTGAATGTCTATTATGTTTCTTATGGACATACATCAACTTGCAATGCAGCTTTTCTGAATCAAATTCTGTTTCTGCAATGTATAGGGCTCAATTGAAATGGGCCATTGCTGTCATAATTCACACGTGATTGAAATCATTGTTTTTTGTTTGTTAGGTTTGAATCTTAGGTTTTAATTTTTCGACATTCTTTGGGGCTGGAGAAGGAAAGTGGGGATTATTTGCATGAACATAGAATGCCAGATTTAAGAAGTGGTGTTCGGCGATCAAAGAGGATCAATTATGTCCAGGACAATCCTGCTGTTTTAGTTCCAGCTGCACGGCCTGGTGCTGGTAAAGGTAATAGCTTCAACATTCTACTCTCGAGATCACCTCTGAAAAATCCAATTAACCTGTGGTTTCTGTGTCCAAGTGCAGTGCTGACTGGTAAAGGTAGGGGTAGAGGGTCTAGAGCCATGCATCAAGGGAAGAATTCTAAGCTATATGGTGCTGGAGTTGGTGGCCAAGGGCATACAGGTTTAGATTTTCCAGAGAGAGATTTAGTGCCGGTTCATGATGAGTTGGTAGGCCAGAAAGGTGCACAAAAATTGGCTGCTATCGAGGATGAAGGAAGCACTAGTCCGCTTCCAGAAAGCGTAATTTTTATCACCTTCTTGCTTGGCTTTATGTAGTTTGTTTACTGAAGCTTTGTGATATAGTATATGATTCTATAATTTGTATTTTCAGGTACAAGTTGGCCACTCTCCCATATACAAGCTAGAGAGAAAGCTGGGGAAAGGGGGTTTTGGACAAGTTTATGTGGGAAGAAGGATGTCTCCTGGCATAGGGTGCACTGCCACTGGGGCTGATGCCTATGAGGTTTAATCTTTGCAGTGCATCTCTTGAATATCTGTATAAATTCTCATAGGAAGTTGATTGCGGTACTAATGGTGGTTTTCTGCATCTAATTGTAGGTTGCTCTGAAGCTTGAGAGTAGAAATGGTAAAGGGTGCAGTCACGGCCCTCCTTATGAGTGGCAAGTGTACAGGTATGCACTATTCATCCTTATTTTTAGTTAAATTCTAATATTTGTTTCCTGACCAGTGTTTTATGATATTACAGCAATCTTAATGGATGTTATGGGCTTCCCCTCGTCCATTACAAAGGTCAACAGGGAGACTACTATATCCTAGTGAGTTTCTTTGCTATCATTATTTGTTTCCTAGGCATGTTTTCCAAATCTTGTAAATATTGTTAAATACTTGCCGTTCCTGAATAATTATTTCTCAATGTGAATATAGGTCATGGATATGCTTGGCCCGAGTTTATGGGATGTTTGGAATTCTCGCAATCAGTTGTAAGAAACAATTGGTTCTCTTTTTCTGTGTTCCAAGTTTCAGAGTGAAAATGATACACCTTCCAGGTTTACAGTATATGCATTAAACACATTGTTCTCATATATATATATATATTTTTTTTCCTCTTCAAAGGTTGTCTGAAGAGATGGTTGCTTGTATAGCAGTGGAGGCAATATCAATTCTAGAGCAGCTTCACATTAGAGGGTACTTGCAACTGGTTCTTTTGTCCATTTTCTTTTTCTTTTAAGCTTTTGTATGCTAATGTTGTTCATGGTTATTGATTTGCAGTTTTGTGCACGGAGATGTTAAGCCAGAAAACTTTTTGCTTGGTATACCTGGAACATCTAATGAGAAGAAGTTATATCTTGTTGATCTTGGTTTGGGTATGTGTTCTTTGTTAGACAAGTTTTGGGAAAATAGAAAGAGATCAACAAGTGAATGTGCTTCTGTATATTCGTGTCATGCGAATTTTGGAAAAACTTGTGATAATTCTTGTGCGTTTTACGTCTTCAGCTTCTAGATGGAGAGATGGGTCTTCTGGGCGTCATGTTGATTATGACCAAAAACCTGATGTTTTCAGGTAAATACAAGTTTACAACCTTCACAATGCTGTGTACATTGGATGATCAGGTCACTGGATTGTTATGAGTTGAGAAGAATTTGTTAATTAAATATCCTGAGAAAAACCTGATGCTTTAGAGGGATTTTATGATATTTGGAGTAAGAAGCATTACAGAAAATAATCCGGTTGACTGATTGCACATATCATTCTTGTTAACTAGCATTAGTTCAATCTGTGATCATTTATTATAAGCCCATTAGACTCAATTTTTCTCATTTGAAATGCACACGGGATCTGAAGTGGCCTAATATATCTGATATTTTTAAAAGGGGAACTGTGCGTTATGCAAGTGTACATGCTCATTTAGGCAGGACAGGAAGCCGAAGGGATGACCTCGAATCGTTAGCTTATACCCTAATATTTCTCCTTAGAGGAAAACTTCCCTGGCAAGGCTACAATGTAAGTTCATTTTGGAATTCACTATGCATTACTTTTCCAACTAGATGGCCTAATGTTTTTTGTTTATAAATGCTTGGCTGGGCTGTTGCGCTGCAGGGAGAGAACAAAGGATTTCTTGTTTGCAAGAAGAAGATGGCAACTTCTGCCGAGACACTATGTGGCTTGTGCCCTCCTCCTTTTCAACAGTTTCTTGAAATGGTGACCAATATGAAATTCGATGAAGAGCCAAATTACTTAAAGCTTATTTCCCTTTTTGATAACAGTATTGGTGCAATTGCCTCTCTGCGACCTATCAGAACTGATGGAGCTGCAAAGGTGGTTGCTTGTGTTTAAATTTGTTGATGAATTTTTGAAGTTTGTGGTCATTTCGATATTTTTTTATTGACCGTTATGCATTATAGGTGGGTCAAAAAAGAGGAAGAGTGCCTGTTGAATTGGTAGATGGTGAGCAACCTAAGAAAAAAGTTCGATTAGGTAGTCCAGCTACTCAGTGGATATCGGTCTACAATACCAGATCATCAATGAAGCAAAGGTAGTTGATGTAATACAAGTGAACACAATCCCCTTTAAAGTTATCTTACTCTGTTGTACACATACGAGGAAGAAAAG